ATTGACCACTTATAAAACTTCAAAGGGGAATTGGCTAAAATTAAAATTTCGTGAGAAAATTGACCAATTACAAAAATTCAGAAAAATAATTGACTAAAATTAAAATTCATGAGAAAATTACACAGCTCCTTATTTATTTAGGAAAAAAAATCGACAAATACCTTAAAAAAATAGTCCACCAAAATTTCAGCTTGGCTCATACTAAAACATACAATATGTGCGTGTGCATGTGTTTGGGTATGCATGTGGGCATTTCTAAACGTGTATAATTTGGTGGTTTGTCACAAATTGAATTGTCAAATCGATTTTCATCAAAATATCATAGAGTATAATTTATATGCAAGCAAAGCAAAAGTGCTTGAGCATGTTACATGCAATATTGATTATTGTTGTTCATTTGGACGGCTCTGGAGTCCTGGCCCTCTGCGGATTATATATGAAATAAAAAACAAAACAATATAATAAGTTCTTAAACGTGCTTACAAATAATTAAAAACTACATGGAAAACTACATAAACATGCTTTATGTTTTCCCTCGCTAATCACAAGCCGCTAGTGGTTAAAAAAAATTGAATTAATCTAATAATTAAAAACTACATTAACAACTAACACGGGGTAGCTCAGTGTTGAGGACGAATTTTCTCGCCTGTATTTCCACAAGAGATGTCGTGGGTTCAATTTCTGGCACGTGTAATGGTAGCCACGAAGAGACTAAAAATGCCTCTAAATCTTTTCAACATTCGAAATTGTAGACTGTCATGACGAAACTACTAACCAGAACATTTTCTAAATAAAAAAATAAAAACTACATTAGCATTTGCTTTTTCGGCACTACTAAATTTGATTTATGTGCAACTTACTACGCAGAAAAGAACAAATAACTATAATTTTGTTTAATTTTGGATACATATGTGTGCTAGAGTAATTAAGTATGTACTATGTACATAATAGATATATATTAACCTCAGATTAATATTGTCTCTCAATCCAAATTCCAATGCTGCTAACATCTTACTATATCTTCAGGTACATCTTAAGTTCACAAAATCTTAAGCATTTCCAATTAACCAATACATATATTTATTTTGTTCATTGAGATCCACTAATGAGGTTTTATAATTAGCAATCTGCTTGTTTATCATTAAAAAAATAGTAATGCTAGTGACCATCTATTTAAACCATATTTTGTAAATTATATAACGTGATTGTTGATGATTAAATTATTACTTAAGTGTTGTCTAACGAGCTTATTTTCTACCTAGCATATACCCTTACTTTTTCTTGTACAAGCAATAGAAGGTTGATCGATACTTCAGGTGCCAAAATAAACACTCTTAATACTTGAATAACAAACCCTTTATATCATAGCTCCACTTTTATTTGAACTTTTTGTTTTATAATAAATTGAGATTTAGTTTTTGTTCTTTGACAAACGATAAGTAATTATACTAAATTTATCTAAACTTGAATTTAAACATGGGTGCAAATAGTGAAGTACACTGCACTGACAAACTTGACTATGCTCCAGTATGCATAAATTTAGCTTTTAATTAACTATTATTTTAGATAATTTGATTCTCTTGTACTTTAGATAATTCGTGACATTATTAATTCACATACGCATGTTTGACTTGGCTCAGCAGGTGAGGGAACGCTTTAGAGGAAACACAGAAGCCATGCACATCAAGTATTTGCCCAAAGAATTATAGTTAACTAATCAATATTTATTTATGAGCCAACATGGATGAAGTTTTCATTTGAAGCAAACAAATGCCTTTTCCCCCCTTTTCACAGGGCAATACCTTTTTCTCTTTCAGGTTAGACCAAATAGTCCATCATCACTACATTAAACATAATCAATAAGCGGTTTTTTCAAAAGAAAAAACCGATAATATATCTAGTGCTAATGAGAGATATTATAATCAATTCTCGTCAAATGCAAACATGAACCATATTATTGCTCGCTTATTGTGAGGCTTAGCGAACTCTTTCATCTCTATAGTGTAAGATAATATTGGCTGTTCAAAAAAAAAAAAAAAAACGAGAAAAAACATGTTTTGAGACATAGAAAATAAGCCGAACTCTACAAGCCCTAGACTGAAGACAACAAAGCAATCTACTCTTTCCCCCCACTAGAACAATTGAAAAGAAAACACCCCCGATAGAACGGCACTCCCGTTTGTTAAAGTATTCGGAATGCTAATGTTTTAAATAACAGTTAAATGTGAGAAAATTCTTATGTGTTACCATAACACCGGTGTTATATAATATAATACTGGTAACATGAGATCAGTTGTGGAAGGAAGGAGGGGGAATAGGATCGTATGACCCCAATAAAGTCAATTGGCTACCCCTATAATCTTGTATGTTAGGCTTGACCCAAAGAAGGAATGAAAAGACAAGGGATAGAAGGCCATGTTCGTTTTATATGTTTTTATACATAGTTGAGGGTATACGTTATATATAGGTTTTTTTAGTCAAAATAATTTTTGAGATTGAAATAATTTTTTATTTTGGTCTTTAAGATTTGAAATCGATAGAACTAATCATGAGTTTGTCCATCGTCAATCGTATTGGTCTTTCCGAAAAAAATCTCTGTTAAATAAGGACCAAAATAACAAAAATACACTCAATTTAATAAACAATGTATCAAAATGATTTGACAAGAATTGAGAGTAAGTTTGTCATTTTTTTTCTTATTTAGCTGATATTTTTCACAGAATGACCAAAATAATTGACAATGGACAAACTTCAGGACAAAAATTGATAATTTCAAGGATCATTTTAACTAAAAAAATCTTATATATGTGTGCGTCAAGAGTCAAATATGTACATGGGATGCGTATCTTGCTTAAATAATGTTGGAGAGAGAACCAACAGCATTTGCTTAGAATGCGTTGGCCTTGGATTTATATAAGAAGCTGAATATGAGACCTCAGTTGATAATACTATTGTCCTAAAAAATTCTGATTCCGCCTGAAATAGAAGATGTATAAATAAATAAATGAGATTTTTAAAAAATTTAAATCCTTTTAGAAGACATGATAGTTGTTTATTCATAACGTAAAGAAAACTTACAGTTCTCAAAAAGGATATCATGAAGTATAATTATGAGACTTACTTGAACCAACAACTAGTAAAATTAGAAATTAAGGCTAACTTGAACATTGTCTGCACCGCTATATTAATAGATAAACGAGATTATAATATCGCACAACGGTATGATTAACGATTAAAAAAATGAATCCAATCGTATTATAGTGTGGGAGTTTTCAATATTTAAGAGAGATATGGCATATGGAATATATACCATTATGCGCATGCACGTGAACCTGAGACAAAAAGAACTTTCGAAGTAGCTTCTTTCGCAAGGCTATGCACAGTAGTCAACGAAATAATTCAAAATTTGGAAAGCAAAAAAGAGAAATTTATGATTATAAAAATCAAATTTAGAGAAGAAAACGAATACAGTCAAATTGATTAATTGGTGAGTCGAATTTGGTAGGTGAAGGTGTCATCCAAGATTAAACAAATGCAATGGAACTAAGAAGAATGTATTGTCTATGCCGCCACGAAAGGGATTCAAAGCATGACAATTGACAAATTCGAAGACCTATTTCCATTGCCTCCTTTGACCGTAATACCGTCACGTGACTAAGTTATGAGGAAAAACGTTTAAACTTTAGACGCAGTAAGTTTAAGGGGTCTCAATCACTAGAGCAATTTATCACGTACACGATACATGTTTTATTCATAATATGACGTCCTAAAAGATAAACTCATCAACTGCATGTAATATGATGTGATGTCTTTTTATTTTCTTTTAATTTGTTCAATACAAATATCAAAAATATATTAAACTATAATAAAAATATAAAGAGTGTGCAGAAACCACTTCTCGTAAATTTTGCTTGAGTGAACCCACAATGACAACTCCATATTTGACCGTCCACATTAGACCCTACCCCTCATTATCTTACCACTTGTATATTTAACACGTAATATATCATTTCGTATTTTCAACGTACTGAAAAATATCTCTTTCTTTAGAGAAGACTATGGAAGCTTCTTCGCGCACTATACAACAAGATGGGGGTCCACTATTTTATTATGATTTATGAAGCAACAAACAGAGTGGGCCAAAGAGAAAAATCTGATCATGTTCTCGTAAATCATTGTTAAAAGCCCATAAGAGCCTGCCCAAATGACCTTTTAGTGTTGGAATGTCATGTCGGTCGGTTGGTTGGTTTGGTCATATTAACATATTATTCATCTCCATACCGTCAAACATATTTAAGTTAAGATATAATAATCGCTAAAAAGCTAACTGGTTAATAAGTTAACACGATATTAATCACCCATTTAAATTACAAATACACATCGTCTCATTGACTAATTTTAAAGGAAACATTCTCGCTCAAGCTCTAACCAGTTAATAAATTAAAACGACACTAACTTCCTGTTTGAACTACTACACAACCCAACAGGATCCTCTCCGAATCTTTTTGGTGGGGATCTTGGGGATCTGTGAATCGTGTCTGTTCATCTTACATAGTACGGTCAATTTTTGTCAAGTATTGTTTGTGTTTAATTTTAAATAAAATATTTAAAATAATTCTGACCGCACGATGTACGATGAACGAATATGATTCACGGATCCCCGAAATCCTCACAAAGAGGATTCAGATTCCTACATAACATCGTCTCATTGACTAAAATACACCCGACTAATTTTATAAGAAACACTCTCGCTCTAGCGCTAACCAGTTAATACGACACTAACCACTTGTTTGAACTACTATAGATCGTTGTCTCATTGACTAGAATATTGACTAATTTTAAACAAAACACTATCGCTCAAATGCTAACTAGTTAATAAGTTAATACGACACTAGTCACTCAGCTGAACTACTACACAACGTCGTCTCATTGACTTAAAATACACATCGTTTCATTCACTAATTTTACAAGAAACACTCACTCTAGCGCTAACTAGTTAGTAATTTAAACGACATTAACCACTTGTTTGAACCACTACACAACATCGTCTCATTGACTAATTCCATAGGAAACACTTGTACTCGTAAACACTCTTAGTTAGAAACAATCCCAAACGGGCCAATACGTCATTCCGGTTCATAACTACATATGAAAGTTCTTGTCAACATAATATAAATGTAAACATAGCTTGTTTTCGCGTCATTCATTACAGAACGGTCCTGCTGTTGCTTTCCGAGCACCTTCTTTTTTGAAGCACTTCAAGTTTCCGTTCAGGTTCTTCTGTTGCTAAACGAAATCGAAAAAACATATTCTGCCAATCCATGGATTGTGACGTCCATTGCCTTCCAGTGACTTAAAATTGCCACTAGTCAAGAACATAGATCCGAGAGGCAATGTCTTGGACCAACCAATCGAATCCTTCAAGCAGTCCCTCACCGGTGAATGCACTGCAGCCGACAATTTGCCAATGCCGAGTTTTATCCATGGCCTCCAAGTTCAAAACCTTAGCAATTTCTTCCGGAGCAAGGGCACCTTTTATGTCCTGCTTGTTTGCTAGTATCAACAAGGATGATCCAGAAAGCCTCTCCTCCTTCAAAAGATTGTCGAGCTCCGCTTTGCAGTCTTCTAGCCTTCTAAGATCTGAACTGTCAACTACCCATACCAGACCATCAGTTTGCTCGAAATAGTTTCTCCAGTACGATCTTATTGTTTTCTGGCCCCCGACATCCCATATGTTGAGGGTATACTTTTGGTAAATGATGGTCTTGATGTTGAAACCGAGTGTGGGACTGACAACGCTGGTGTCCTCTCCATTAATTCTCAGCACAATGGTAGTCTTGCCAGAATTGTCAAGCCCGACCATGAGTATCCGTATTTCTTTTTCCTTCCTTTTAATTTTTCGAATAATGCTGAGAAGCCCCATTTGCTCACAGACAAAATCAGATTGAGCTTCTCCAAATAGACTTCAAGGTTTGAAGCAAAAACCAAACGAGAATTTTTTCTCAAAACTGAAACTTCAATGAGACTTTCAAATCCTGAGCTGTTAAATTAGAGAAAATTAAATTGACAAAGGCACATGGGCAGTTCAAGCTTTAACGTGCGTGCTGAGAATTAGGAGGATAATAAAACTTACTTTAGTCGTCGGTTGTTGATGGTAGGCAGTGGTTGCCGGCTCAATCCTGGTAGGAACAGGTGAAGTATGAAGTGATTAGGGCCTGGCGTACATGATTATTCTGTTTTACCGAAGAAAGCACAAATATGAACTTTTCCTTTTACAACAAGAAAACTCTAGGAACTTCGAGTGTATGCTATTTACCGCGAAGCACACTTGTGCTGAAAATATTTCATGAGGAGTGATGAACATAGTATTTAGGACAACACAATCACATGCTCATGATCAAATTCAGTTAGCTAAGAAAAGCCTAAAATGCTAAACTAAAAAACAAGTAGTTATCATGGCGGCGAGGCCTACCAAGTAAACATCATGCAGATAAACACTTACACACATGCTCACAGGAACACGAGACAAGATGCATATATACTGGATTAGTAACAAAACTCAGTTTGAAATTCAAAAAGTCCAAGGGAGAAAACAAGATGCTGTAGCAAACATCGGCTACAATGTAAAACATTTACTATACTAATTCCTCTTTTCAGCTGTAAAGGTTAAGCAAGTGATGGCATTATAGGGGAAAGAAACAAGCAAAAAGAACAACACATTTTGAAATTATCAGTCACCGCAATGGTGTGATGCGAAGGATTCATCGGTCTCAAAACACATTATATTCAGGATATGACATTATATTCAGGTACATAAGCGGCCCCAAGCCAACAAGGCTCCCTGCTTTGTGAAGGTCGGAGGAACGTCTATCGTAAGAATATCACAACACAAACTCTACCCGCAAGTTGTTCAATTGAGATTAAAAAGCAGAGTCTAAAAATTCACTAGTAGTTCAATTAGGACTATTTAGTAACAAACAAAAGCAGAACAGATACATGAGAATCATAATATCACAACACAAAATCTAATTGCAAATATAATTTAAAGTCATCTCAAAGTCTAAGACTTTACACATATAATTTAAAATCAAACAAAACCCAGATGTAATCGTATACTCATAAGCAGTTTAGAGAGAGAGAGAGACAGAGAGGACTAGAAGGGTTGCTATGAGTTGTTTGGGATGAAAATCGAAAAGGGTGTTCGGGAAATCTGATGAAAATGGACGGTAGGGATCGATATCGGGTAAACACGGCGGAGATCAGAGCATACGGGAGGGAGAGTGAATTGTGGATTGGTCGCCATTGTTGCAGGTTTGATAGCATCAGTTTCAAAGATTAAAGCTTTAACGAGAGAGAGAACTTACCCACCTGGGAAATTTGAGACGTCGGCGGTTCTCGGCGGATCTGATCGAGGAGGTGGGAAATAATGGTAAAGGTATCGACGGGAGAAGAGCTCAACTGAAGATAGTACGAGAATGCAAACGTTTCGACACTTGAAAGAAATTAACTTAAATATTGATATGTTTGGACCCCGATAGACAAATTTGATTTTTGGAAGGGGGTGTGGTATCGACACTTTTTTTTATTTTTCACAAACTTTCTTAATTTTTGGTTATCAGGTTAAATGAATTAAAGAAAATTAAAAGAAATAAATTAATAAGGAGTGTGTGAGAAGTAAAAACGATGTGTGAATATCACTCATTTCGGAACGTCCTTGGGCCAATATGAAAATAAGGAAAACACAAAATGCCTATTTTGCCCTACTGAAGTACAAAACAGTAACAATTTGATGATTTGATTTGTGTTATGGAATTTCTTTCCTTTTTCCCATCAATTTTCTCATTGATGGACATTTTTGTAGCTTTATTTTTTTGGGTAAATTACACTTTCATACATTAGGTTTGGAGTTTATTTCAATTCCTTACAACATCTTCAAAACGTTTCACTTTTATACCTTAAGTACTATTTTATTTTAAAATAATACATCTGTTACATTTTCCATCCATTGATCTGTTAAATGCTGACGTGCCTGCAACATTTTTGCCATATGGCTGCCAAATGTGTGCCACGTGGAATTTTTTTTTATAAAAACTTGAATTTTCTCAAAAAAAAAGAAAAAGAAACCCATCCCACCTCCCCGCACCCCCCCCCCCAAAACAAACCCAAAACCCTTTATCCCCACCCACACCCGCCCAGCTCGTCTTCCCCCTTCCTCTGGACGACCCACCTGAGCCAAAACCTCGACCCTCATTCCGCCCACACCCCCCCCCACCCAAGAGACCTCACCCTCCTACTGCCCGCACCCCCAACCTCCCCCTCCACCCAAGAGACCTCACCCTCTTCCCCCCCCGGGTGACCTAACTCCCTGTGTCCGACCTTCCCCCTTCCTCGCACGACCCAACTCCTTACGTCCAACCTCACCCAGAACCCAAATCCCGACCCGGGCGACCCACCTCGCCCAGAACCCGACCTTTACCATCTGCAACACCCACCCTCTTCTCCCTCCCCCATCCGTGCTCGTCGGCAAGTCGGTCGGCTCCGACAACGAGGTATGCATTTAATTTTGTCCTTCAAATTTTGAATTTTTTTGGGTGCTTGGTTAGTGGTGGTCTGGATGGAGTTAGGTTTGCTATGGGTGGGTGGGGTTGTAGATTAGAGAAGGGAGGGTGGGGGTGAAGAGGAGAAAGGACTCGGGGAAGGTAGGGATGGGGTTGGGGTTTGCTGGGAGGTGAAGAGGGTGGAGGAGAGGGAGGTGGGTTCCGGGGGGGGGGGGGGGTGGGTGGGGATGGGGGTTTAAGGTTTCTAGGTTTGTTTGCGGGGGAGCTAGGTTTCAGTTGTTTTTTTTTTAATTCTTTTTTCAGGTGTTTTTTTTAATTAAAAAATTATTATTTTTGCCACGTGGTGTGCCATGTTGACAGTTACGTCAGCACTTAACGGATCAATGGATGAAAAATGTAACGGATGTATTATTTTGAAATAAAATAGTACTTGAGGTATGAAAGTGAAATGTTTTGAAGATGTTGTAAGGAATTGAAATAGACCCCAAACCTGAGGTATGAAAGTGTAATTTACCCTTATTTTTTTCTTTGATAAAACAGGTAAATTTCATTACCAACCTACAATAAGTACAAACAAAGGTCTAAATACAAGCTTAACACAAAAAAAGGCCAACACAACATAGAGGACAAGGTCTGTTGCTTCTCATGCGCCTGCAACAACCGCCACTAGAAAACCAAATAACGATCTCCACAATTCGTCGCTTATCACCGTCGCCAAAGATCCTGCCTGCAAGAACCCAAAAATTGATGAAGAAGAAGGCTTCCTCAATCTCCAGGGACCACCATACCAAATGTCTCCACGAAGTTAAGGAAGCCCGCGAGGGAGCAAGCAACATTGCCACCAAGGGCGAACATTGGGAAAGACCAACAAGGGCCAACAAAGGTGGTGGTGCGAACTCCTGAGCCGAAACTCTACACACCCTTCCGTAGATCCGTGACATATCGCGTTGAAAACATGTGGAAATTGATCAGAATTTGGGATGGTCAGAGAGATGAAGGATCCAATTGATGAAAAAGATTAAGGGAGGTGGATGGAAGAGAATGGAAGGGGATGAATCGAAGCAGATTGAGCGAGTGGATGATTGGGTATTGGAGTTCGAGATGGTTTGATCAAAAGCAAGGAATGACTTCGAATGAGGAAATCGTGATTTGCAGGGATGGTGGAAAGTGTAGACAACAGGGAGAGCAAAAAGAAAAGAAAAAGAAAGAAAAAAACATGGGACTACCACCGACCCTAGCCACAACTAGGGCCGGCAATAACGCTGATTTAACGAGAAGATCATCACTCACACTTAGGTGAGAAAGATTCTCACAATAGGAGAAAAGGTCTCTCAGTGGAGGAGAGAGAAGCTTCTTGCTTTTTTTGACATTTTTGTAGCTTGGGTGCAAAGTAAACACAACGTTGTTGGCAACATGTTCCATGACTTGCAGGACAGGGTTTGGGGAATCAACAATCCAAATGGCAACAGTTGGATAACGTTGTAGGAATTGGACGAATTTTAACTCAAGATTACACTTATTGGCTACAAATTACAAGAAAAAAAAAGAGAGGATAAACTGACCGCTTTAAATAAGAAAAAAAAATGAACTGATATTGACACTCTAAAATAATTATATTATCTTTATCTGAAACCAGGTCATGAATAAGGTGGACATATTGTATATCGTGAAGATGATCATTGTTTTGCGATAACTCTTTGGTGAGTAAAAATCGCTTGAATTGCTAATATAAATCACTGCAAATCATCTCTAGTAACCCACTCCCGCAATGTATCCTTAACTTCATACATTTCAAATCCGCACTCGTCATCCTCCTCGTCATTGTCATACTACACATGAAAGTTAAACCCAACGGATACAACATACTAGTGAATATATTTCATATACAATGTGGTATGCCAGTGACCACCTTGTGAATAATGTGTGATTGGGCGAAGTGTTCAAAATGCAGGACTAACTGTGATGGCGATGAAGACTTTCTCACACGCTCCCTTTGAACTGATGCAGGTGCAGGAGGATTATTGCCATTACTTCCCATCAAGTAAATATAAATATGTGATCGAGTTTTGAAAAATTAGTGTGATTTTCCAGAGAGCGGAGAAGGTGGTTGGGTTAAGAATCCAAGATAGTTCTTCATTTTTCACGTAAAGTACTTGATTTGTCGATTTTTTGTGACATTATGATCTGGGTGAAATTTTTAATTGTGACCGGAACACAAGTGGTACATCATGTGTTTTAATATGAGTGGTGGAAAATTTTATTTTTTAAGTTATTAACTTTTTAGCACACATATCCCACAATTTGTATAGTGACATGTGGTGTACCACCTCGTGTACCGGTCACATTGAAAAATCTCTCACGATTTGGGATCATATTCTCAATCACTTTAGGAGACACTATTTTCTACTAGAGATTCTGACCGGCACACGGGGTAGTACATCACGTGTCATTAAACAAATTGTGTGATATATGTGTTAAAAAGTTAATAACTTAAAAAATAAAATTTCTCACAATTTATATAAAAATACGTGGTGTATCACCCATGTTCCCGTCATAATGAAAATTTTCTATTTTCTACGGAAATTAGAATCTAAAAAGTACCACTATAAGAAAGCAAGCAATAATGCATGCATGCATGCATATATATACAGCAATACTACATTACTAGAAACACCAACTTATTACATCAAATTTTGGTCACCAACTTCAGTTTCTTATAACGTCCAACATAAGAAAAAATTTTGTGTAGGGGAAGCTCGTGTCATGTCAAAGATCTTTCGAAGACACACATAAAGGGACCTTTGCATTCAAGGGGTCCTCATTTTGTGTGTCTTCAATAGACATGTGATGCGGCACGTGCTTTCCCACACAAAAATCTCTCCTAGGATAGAAGATCTTCCATTCCATGTTACAAGGAGTATTATCGCCCATTATTATCTCTCTTATCATGTAACGAGGAATTGAGAAATGTGTGAGATAATACGACCAATTGTGATAACTAAGAATTTGTCATTTCTCCACCCAAATAAAAATCAAATGAAACATTGTCGCATCATTATGAAACCAAGAGTTAGCGTAATGAGTTGATGTCTCGAAATTAACTTGAGATTTTGAGAAGTAAATGAAACATCCGAGATGGGCATATGTGTCTATATGTATTTATGTGGAAATATGATCGACTAACAAACTAAATCTTTTTGTGATTAAAGGAATCTCTGAAAAAGCTTTGAAAGAATCATACTTTTGCTTGCTTGTGAGCCGAGATCACGGTGGAAACTTAATTAATACCAATACTTAGTTCAAGTAGTTTACTGTGAAGAACAACTCAAATTTTTTAGTTTTGTTAATGTGAACGAACATTTTGTTCACATTTTAAGTGTTTTGTGGGGAATAATATGAATGAAAAGCTAGGGTATAAAGAAAGGAAAATAACTTTCTTTTCCCATAGGTCGACGTTGCTTAAGATATCTTCCGTCTTTGGAGAGACTTTTATTGTGTCTGGAATACAGACACATACACCATATATCATTATATAAGTGAAGAAACACTTGAAAAAAAAAATCTTTCCTAGACTTGTACAATAACATATGGCGTACCATCCTATGTTCTAGGCACATTGAAAAATTTCTCTCATCTTTGGTGTCATTTCAGCCATTGACATTACAGTTTAGTGATTTTTTTTTTTTTTTAACTTGTAAATGAGAAATCTTAAATTTTGATTCTCAATAACAGTAAGTGTAGTGATAAATGCTCTTTAATAGTCCCCAACTTTAAAAAAAAAAACGATAATATAACTTGTTGCCAACCATAATTAGAATTTGCAAGTCAATTTAAATGTGCAAATTAAGTAAAATCAACTAGTAACTTGCAATCTTAATTCAATGGTAAACAAAACCAACTGAAGCATTACATATATAACCAGATTTAAAGATTAGAATAGAGAGAAAACAATAATAAAATAGAATAAACTTATTATACGTTACATTAAGAGAGGCTGCTAACATCAGTCGTGCATGCATGTAAGCGCATGCACTTCCTGAGCGTAGCGAAATCCTTCATGCACACACATTAATTAGAAATATCATATATGTACTTCCCTCCCAGCTAGCATTCACCAACACCACCCTTATTATTTTCAATCAGCAAAACCCATCAAACCAAAAGTTAAACAGATTAATCTCCTACTCTCGCTTAAAGGAAGCATTCTTTCGACCACCAAGATTTGACGGCGTAGATCTGAACTTTTTCTTCGCACGTTGAATATAATCAGAAAAATGGTCGTTTCCAGTCTCTCTTTTCTTTCCATCATACTCAACCTCATCTGATTCCGCTATCTTCTTCGATGACATTGATCTGATCTTGATCTTCGCCCGATTGATATACTCCGAAAATTTGTCATTAATATCCAATCCTCCTTGTTTCTTTCCTTCAATATTCCTAGCTTGAGCTTGTGCTTCATGTTTGTCCTCCTCAACTTTTGAATGAGTAGCCTTGGCCAACTCTTCCTTGTATTTGTGTACTAGACCATGATGAGTTGGAGGTTTTTTGGGTTCAATCTTCGCAGCAACCTTGGAATTTGCTTGATCATCACAGCCTTTCCCTACTATTTTTTCGGACGTGATTGGAATCCGAACCACTAATTCAGCTGACTTCTTGGGTTGTGGTTGTGGAGGATACGTGCTTCTAGCAGCGGAGGCAGCTGTAGGTTCTTGTGGAAAATGCGTGGCTCGGCGAACTGTTCGAAATGCAGGAGAAACTGTGATGGCGCTGTAGATTTTCTGGCACACTCCCTCTGAATCTGATGCTGCTGCAGCAGGATTATTGCCATTCTTTTCCATCAAGTATAAATATGTGGTCAAGTTTTGGAAAAATGGGAGTGATTTTCTAGACAACAGAGAGGGTGGTATTTATATGCATTGATTTGTCTAGCTAGTCGTTTTTTACGTACGGTTCGTATTCACACTGAAAATAAAAAACAAACGATCTTTTACCCTACTGTTTGTGTTGTTTTTGATCTAAAGAGAAAAGTACTGTATCAATTTTGGGATCATATTCTCAATCACTTTAGGTACTCTATTTTCTATGGAAATTAGAATCTTTAAAGCACCACTATAATAAAGCATATACATACTGCATAGCAAGCTATTAACGGATAAATTTTAATCTGGTTCCCACAAGGGCCACAACTACTTTTTGACAACTGAGTTTAAGATTCCGGAATTTTTTTTAATAGTACTGTGAGTTTCGTCACACCGCGTGCACAAATCCACATATGATGATATGGTAGACGACAATGTTGGTATTTATGAATTTTGTCTAAATTAGGTGTTCACTGCACGCGGTGTAGGATTGGATTTGATTTGAGTGTGGAAATATGACCAATGAAGAAACTAACCCTTTGTAATCACAGAAATCTCGTATGGTTGTGATCCCACCAATCACACACTCAAAAAACTTGGTATAATCGTACTTCTTGTGAAACGTGAGTGGTGACCAACCAGATTACGGTTGAACACCAATTTTTGGAACAGAAATGTACCAATAATTCTAGAAGAAAGTAATTTATTAAGGACTCATAAATTTTATTGTTTTGTTAAGGGTAATGTTAGGTAGACCAAAATTTTAAATCAAATTTTGTAAACCAAGGGATGTGGTTGTGGATGATTGGATTATTACTTAAGTGTTGATTAACATACTTATAATTCCTATTGGTGACACATCATTTGGTTTGTAAATTTGATTTAGAAATTTGGTCTCCCCTAGCATTTTCCTTTTGTTAATGTGAATCAAAGACCTATTAGATGCTCTAGTTAGAAAATCCGATTATAAAACAGAGACTCAAGGCAAAAGAGATAGAGGAAGACCTATGAAGACTTAAAAAGAGACTTTAAAGAAAGATATGGAGTACTTGGAAACGGAAAACTTGCACAAAACTGATGACAATGACGTTCTAAGATTCATACAGGTAACCCCACCTGAAAATATATGACTTTGTTGTTGTTGATGTGAAATCTCTCTCTTCACCTTAATTTTGTTATGTGGGGATATATATATGGAATGAAAAGCTAGGGTTACATTCGTTCCGTTTGTGTTCCATCTAGATGTAAGAATCAAGTGATACAATGGAAAGGAAAATTTACTCCCTTTTTCTTGTCCTTTTCCCATAGGGCCGACATGCTTAGCATCATCTGACCTGTAGGAAGGTTTTATGTTTGTGCTCCAATTGTTGTTAAGTGATGCCAATGAAGACTAGCAGCCAACTAAATTTGTAAATGAATCGGATTCCGATAAAGATTTGGATTCTCTCCTCTCATTCCTCTCTTATTTAAATGCTCAATATTAAACCACATCATCATCTTGTTTTACCTTATTTGTAGGGGGAGAACAACCACATTATAAAATAATAGTAGGATTCAAATCCAACTATTATTGCTTACTATGGTCTAGTTGTATTTCGCTTTACTTATAAGTGAAAAGTCTTAGGTTCGATTCTCGTCAAAGACAAAGTTGAACCACATTATTATGGCAAGCTGCTTAGCCCACTCCCCCATCCCTTAGTGTGGATACTATAGTTTGTTAAAAAAAAAAAAAATTGGTTCATTATCAATGCTAATTTAAAACCTGAAAATGACTGAAATATCATTGGTAATTCATTTAATATATACAAGTATAATATTTATAAAATAACATAAAATAAAATAAAAAGAATAAAATAACAAAATATGCTTCTATTAAACCGAATCAGATTATTATCAAATTGAATACACCTTATCTATATTCGAATCTATTTATAATCGAATTATCTTTATTCAAATACTAATTGGATCATCCAATTAAAATTTTCAGCATCCTATTAATTATGGATAAGATCCATATCTTTTTTTATGTACATCTCTTTACTCATCGCGTTACGACAGATGTACAACCAAGAGGATAAATCCTAAGACATTATTTTTTAATGAGCAGTATCATGCTATATTTTATACTATCCCTAACCAAGAGGGCCAAAGAGCAATAGGCCAAAACAGAGTTCGACAAAAAAATCCATCTCCAACTGAAGGGGGGCTATTTTTTAGCCCATCAATAATTTATTATTTTAATTGAATTAATATGGTTAATTGAATTACACTACCATATTAAAATAAGGTTTTCAGACATATTTTGAGTGCCACTTATCGCTAAATTAATAAGCCTCCTGATTTTTTTATCTTTATATCATGAAAATGATGTGAAAAATTGAAATAAAATGAGGTAAGATAATATGGAATAGTGAAAGGGATGTGAGAAATGGGGTAGAAATGACTTAGGTATTTATAGGAAAAAAAATTAGAATTTATTTTTATTTTTAAATTTCGTCTTAAAAAAAAAGTCAAATCCAACAGTAACCTGACGTGCATGACGTTAGGTAGCATGTGTTTGGGTTGGGCCATAGGGCTGGCTGCTCTTGGCCAACCCGCTGGCCGGTTCTCCAATTTTTTACATGGTGGGGCTCACGAGCCATTTGACCTAACCCTTAGTTTGAGATGATTTTTGTGTCAAAACCGGCTATTTTTTGGCCTATGACCCTTTGGCTGGGTTGGTTGGAGATGGCCTCAGTTATAAGATTTGGATCCTCTCCTGAGCCCAAGGAGAAGATCCTCCTGACAAAAAACTATGGGTCGTTGGATTTTCATTCAACGACTATAATTATTATAACTTTAAAGGGACCTTCCAGTTTATAGCCGTTGGATAAAAATCCAACAGCCCACAGTCTTTGGTAAGGAGGATCCTCTCCTTGTGCTCAGGAGAGGATCCAAATCCAATGTTTAAAATATCCACAAAATTATCAATACTTTTGTCGAAATATCTAAAAAATCAATAATCGATATGTAGGGAGGAGAAGTGCAAACTTCACCCTTGTCGATGAGATACAAAAAAATCAAATAATATCAACGATATTTACTTATTCACTAAAAAAAATTTGGCAAAATTCATTAGACTTAACTTTTGATTTAAAAAAAAAAAAAAATTTTTGCTAATTTCAACTAAAACTAAATAAGTTGATATATCCACCCATTGCAACTTTACATAATCTCCGTCGAAGCAACCGATATCGATATATGCATCAATATTTACATAAATTTGAATATTGATATTTCTACCTATATAGATATTTTAAACACTGGCGATACGTGGAAACTCTCCAAAGGTGGATTACTCCCAACATAAAGTCCGACTATGAAAATTGTTAGACCACACAATTTACAAGAATGTCTACCCGCTTAAATCAGTTATAGTTTACAAGAAATTTACAAGAAAGCACCATGCCACAAGATTTCCGGAAAGAAAACTACGTAAAACTGCAAATTTACTCGAGTAAAGTTCGTGGGAGCATTGGCAGGGTTGCACCACACAAAACAGTCATCGTTTAATCGCGGGCATGTTTGGAAGTGCTTCTCTAGATAACCTTCTGCTCATCAAGATTTCTTCATCGACTACTGCTCAAAACATTTGAAGCAGAGCCTTAATGGCGGAAAGTCTTTACAGCCTGATCAATTCGTCGCCGGCAGAGAGGACAGCTGGTCAGGTGCAAGGAGCAAGTTGTACAACAGCACATATGACCACACCTGATAAAATAAATAAAAGAATCAGTGATGTGTTAAATTCGTAAGGTAATAAATTAGACTGGCTGTTGTATCATATAATGAAAAGGCAGTTCTTACGGGACAAAAACCGCATTATAATCCTGTTCAAGGCATATCACACATAAATCGGGCATCATACGGTCTCTCTTGTTTCCATCTGATGCACCATCATCTTTTTCGTTTGAACCTGGGAGAAAAAGGTAAAACCTCTTAGTACATTTTTGAGCATATATTGCAAATAACATCGTAATGGGGTCTCTCAGCAGTATACCTTCACCATCTTCCCCAGATCTTTTAGCAGCTGCAGCAAGAACCCTGCATGGAGTCGAATTTCATTATCCATTTGTTTCAGATAGACGGAAGAAACAATAGAAATATTATATATATATATGAGGCCACCATCAAAACATGCTGTTTTTCCTTTACATACTTACTCATAGAAGCAGCGACTTTCACTTGCAAGTTCCAAATGAACAAACTTGGGCTACGTACCTTTTCTGCAATTCCCAACGGCGCTTTCTCTCAATGATGTATTGGATAGAATGCTTAGCAACCAAATAAACACCAAACACGGTCAAACCCACAGATGCATATTTGTACCACCTGAAAAAGACATCTATATTAATTAGACTACAGAGAAAGCACACCATTAAAGCAAATGAGCAGCGCATGAGTGCAAAAACACCAGCCATGGACATACATATGCACACAGAATGTTAATATACATTTACGCATTTGTATAAGTTATAAACAACCTTGCCCATTTTCCAAGGTTTGCAATAAGCTGATCAATGGTTTTGGGAGAGACATAAAATGGCCCTTTCTGAGGTCGTTGAATCCGAATGGTACCAATGTCATCTTTGACAGCCTGATATAGATCAAGCAATAAGAGAAAGTATCAAATGAGTGTGTACATCATAACATTTCAATGCACAAACGTTCCACCAAATAGCATCCTGCAAATAAAATGCTAATTATGAAACTAAAGCTTCAAGCCGTTTTACAAGAGTGCAAGTTCTTCTACGGGACAGTGATCATTTTTGGAACAAGGATCATCCAAATTAAGTATTTGGTACAATACTAAACAAAAAACATTTGGGTAAAAGTAATTTTAAAATTTGTAATTATCGGAATGTTACTTCCTACAGTTCAGCTTTATGTCTATTTGAGTATTTGTTCTAAAAAAGATACAGTTATTAAACTACAGCATACCTCACCAACAACACTCATAGAAGTACCGGTTGGAAGTACCCTCTCAATTCGTTTGACTCCAAGCATCTGAGACAAAACAGCCA